GATAATCCCTACCTACCGACCCTAATTTTTTAGGACTGAAACAGGAAACACAACATTTTTTTCCCTAGGCCTGGGGAGTAGGATGTGCGGTTGTCGCATATTAATCTCTGACTTTTCGTTTTTTTCCTTCTTCCTTGGGGTAGTTGGGTGGAAAATTAGATTATGATGCCTGCAAACTCTAAATGTCAAGCATCTACATGTATCTAATGTATTTTGATGACTCAGAGATATGAGCTTTGAATACTCTCTTGAATGAATGAATCTCTTTATATTCAGGATTATACCCATAGTGTACAGACAAGGAACATAGAGCGTTAACTAGTAACTACACATAAAGCAGCCTATATACATTTTTTAAAATAGGAGTTTCTGAACTGGAATGCAGCCTGAACAATTTTTGATAAAGGAGTCTAATGCTTTGTGTAAATGTCGGTGCATCCTTATATGATGGTTTCCAAGTCAGAAAATTTTGTACTGATCTACAATTTATGGCTGTAGATATGTTAAAAGCTTGGCAAGCATGGCCATGGGATTTTTCCTGTAATTGCATGGTGTGTGCTTGCTGCCTTTCTCTCAGGGCTGCCTCTGCATGCTTGCCTTCCCAGCATCCTTTGCTCTCCTTCCCAGCATCCCTTGCTCTCCTCCCAGCATGCACTGCCTGCATCACCTCTCCCTCTCCTTCAGATGAAGACGACTTTGTGTCCTCGGAGTCGGTGTATCCTGTCCAGGTCCCGGCCTCCTACTTCCCCCACTATCCCTGCCACCAGAACATTTGTGAGTTCCCTCCCCACTTTTTTTCCTCTTCAGTCTTCACCACCCAGTGTTCTTAGCCAGCATCTGTCTTTTCGTCATACGGAATTTCGTTACTTTTTATGGACAAAAATGTGGCTCAATTCATCATCTTTGATGGACAAAAATGTGTAAAGATATAGAAAGAGATGTCATTAAACTAAGCTTAGCCTACCAGCAAAATTTGCCCCCCAAAATGCAGGGAATGACGTTTCATAGGGTCAAGATTTCAACATTTTCCCAGAGGAGCATGCCCCCACGAACCCCTAGGATTGTCATGCCTTCAGTGTGATCCCTCAACTCTTTGGCACTCAACATGATGTTACATCAAACAAAATTGAAATGACGGGGAAAAAAAATTCAGTCTGGCTAGATCACTGTCTGTCCAAACACTCACTGTCCAGGGCTTCTCATCAGCCCACCACCATCATTCTTTCCATCTCCCCCTCCTCACTCGCACGCTCCAAAATGATCCTTCCATAAAACTCGATGAGCGTATTTGTCAGTTGGGGGAAGGTCGGTGCACGAAATGTCGTTTTTGTAAAGTTTTATGGTACTTGGTGTTGATGGTTCATCCAAGGATTGGGTCCGGAAGCACGTTTTCCCCTGACCTCCATCTTGGACTGCTTGACCTTGTCGTGAAGGTGATCCGAAATTCTATTAGATGGCACATTTTTATGGTGTTTTATTACATTAGCACGCTAATTTGACAGCTTTGTTTTCAGAGGGGGGCACGTTAGCGATCTCTCCTTGATCTAGAATAATGACAGGAAATATCAGAATCGTTGTTCCTCAAAGCAAATCCTGAGATTCGATAGAACTTTTCCAGATGGTTTATCATGGGTTCTTTGCATTTATTTCAATGGTTTCTTTCATTCCATGATGTTATGACTCTTCCCTCCAATGTCCCATCTGTCCTGCTGTCCATCTGTTTTCATAAATCACACTTGTGAGCATAAATGCTTCATGAACTGTCATATCAAGAGTTTTAACGTTATATATAATGTCTGTAATTATACCGATTTTAATTATTTCACAACATTTCTACCCTTCATACTATTTCACTGTAACCAGAACTATTTTTTTTACAAACTTTTTGACTGACAACAGTTTCAATCTGTTCCAACCCTGTTGTTTAATTTGTAAGTTACATATTCTGAATCATACGTGACTCTTTTCTTTCTTCCCGAAGACCCCATGCGGCACAGATTGCAAACTTTTGTGCGAAAGTTACGGGAAGGCGTAGTTTACGGAGTGAAGCATCGTATGTCACCGAGCTTGTGTGTGTGTGATGGCAGTCGTACGTCTCACCTAATGTATGTGTGCAGGGGAGGGGCATCCATCATTTTTCTCATAAACCGTTCCGAATCCCCCATTTGTAGGGATACAGCGCGTTTATTGACTAATGACGTCGTAAATTTTGAGGCTAGAAGTCGAGGAGAGGTTGCGATCGGGGAAATCGCGGGTGAATTGTTGCCAGAATAGAAAATGGGTGCTGTATAACGCAGGGTTAATTGTCTTGTTTTAAGTTTCTGAAATCAACAGCAAAGAAATTTAAGAGCACAACACTAGTGTTGTTGGAATAATTGTCAGACATCTTTGTTTTCTTCAACAAAGTTACTGAAATCAACAGCAAGGAAATTCAAAAGCACGTGCTGTTGGAATAATTGTCAGGCATCTTTGTTTTTTTTTTTAAACAAAGTTTCTGAAACCAGCAGCAAGGAAAGTCAAAAGCACGACACTAGTGTTGTTGGAATAATTGTCAGGCATCTTTGTTTTTCAAACAAAGTTTACGAAATCAACAACAAGGAAATTCAAAATCACGCAAGACTAGTACCAGTTAAAGAAAAGAAACATACTGGTATTTTTGTAAACATCTTCAGATGAAACAAAGACTTCAAGACACTGTAAATTTTCTGTCATATGTTTGAAAGACATTAAGTCAATGTGCCTTGGACAAAATAAAAACAGTTTGGGCCACAAAGGCAGAGAAGAAAGTTAAAACAAATCGTAGAGTGCTAGAAAGAAAACTTAAATCTGACCATATCCACCATTTGAACCAGTGTACAATTAGACTGAGGTGTTGTCTTAATCTTCATAATTGATAGTAACATTAACATTGCTTTTTTTCTTAAATCAAAAAAGCTGCAAACTAGATTAGTGTGGCCTAACTTCCTAACTCACAATTTCAGTTTATAATTCCCAACTCTAGGTACAGCACTAGTTGGTGTGATGGTGTGTGGCAGTTTTATTGGCACCTAAAACTTTTATAGCAGTCCGAATCAGGTTCATTGTTATTGGCTTCATGTTCTGCAGCAAATTCGGGCAATTTCCCGCGTCATAACACCAAAACTCTCGCCGTAAACTGAAGTAGGTTGAAATAAAACTCTCATTGGAACTGATACAATGGCCCTGGTCTCCCGTTTTGTGCTGGCAAAACGGCTAATAAATGAACAATCTGCCTCCACAGTCTCAATACACGATAAATATTATAAGGCGATAGTCACTTTATGTGATCGTATTCTTCGCACAGTTTTTCCAACCGCTTCCAACCGTTTCCAACAGTTTTTCACGATGTCACTTCATTTATAGTCTGCGCGTATGTTAGGATGTTATCGCCGATATGTGGTTCGCCAAAAATAACTTTTGTAACACGGACCAACGACCCGTTTCACCTTCTGCGTGGGGTTAAAGCTAATCCTACTCTTATCGTTCCCGCCTCTGTCGGATTTTTTATCAGCCTTTTCTTCATCAATTTTCAATTTGGTGCCACCGTTCGTGTTTCCCATTGACGGTGGTGTGTAATATAATCCCAACCTCCGTATTAACGTAATACGACACCAGTGTCGTCAATGTCAGATTAGTGACCTCCACAAGACAGCGACACGGATGTCGTACAAGGTCAAACACCTCAAGGTGACCCTGTGGCCTGTATTCTAAAGCTGTAATTGCAGGCATAAGGCGATACCGAAGCTTCGCTCGCACATATTGATTATATCTCAGCTACTGCCTTTCACAAAAGTGTGTGCTTTCTCCTACGTTGTACAATGGAAAAAAAAGTTAAAAATGATTTTGAACCAGTTTTAGCTCACTGAAGAGCTCATCTTCGACTGGTCGTAACAGAGAAGACAGACGGTATGTACAGTATTTACAGGTTAATTGTACAGGGGAAATTCCCCTAGCTCTTTTCGACAAGCACAAACGTTGACCAAGGTTTAATGTCCCGTCCTAAGGACTGCGACCCTATCCAGTAACAGCCGGGATTCGAACTCCCAACCTCTTAGTCCAGATTCAGGGTCGCTAACAACTGAAGTTCAAAGTTCAGATTCTAATTAATAGTGGAAACTTGACCCTCTACCTATTCCGTGATTGTTGCCCCAAAGTCGGGGCCATGTTGCGTACCCTTGTACCTTACCCATGCCAACTTTTACGCAAGGTCCGACGGCAGCTTGACAGAAATTCATAGGAAAAATTGAGAGTTCGTGTTGGCGGGAGAACGGTGGGATTAAAAGGTCGCAGGTTTGCTAGCGGATTAGTGCCTGTAATTCATCACTGTTCCGCGGAAATGATTTTTGTCGAAATTGCTCCACCTTTTGCCGTCAGGACATGAATCTGACACTGTACTATGAGATAACAGGGCCGCTGGGGCAGGTACCGGGTCACGAGAGGAGGAGAAACTCATCCCTCAAAAGCCCCCGTTTCCTTGGCGATTGGATTTTGGGTCGGTTTCTTTGACATGGTGGTTTGAAAATGTATTAGGGTCTGGTCAGAGGGTACTTATTCATTCTCATTGCTGTGCAGTTTTTTTGGAATTGGTGGTTGAATAGTTTTGTTGTACAATGTATAGCTTTGACAAAATCCAAGTGGTCTGTAGAAATTAGAGCATGTAGGACGATATACGAATAGCCTTGCTTTCGTTTTCAATTTTCAAGATATTACAGGTAGAAAACAGTGTAAATTTTAGTTGGTCCTAGTATAGAGAAGTAGAGACCATAGTTAGATACATCATACAGTACCAATAATAGCAAATCAGTGACTATCCTCCACTCTTCACTTACGTACATTTTTAATTGTTTATTAATTAACTTCATCATTCCTTCATTTTATCATGCTCCACTTCATCCCAACTTTTAAAAAAAACATAAAAAATAAAAACTTTTCAAGTTGTTGCATTTTACATATTTTGTTTGTTTTTTTGTTATCCTTTATAGACATGACCTCCTCATCCGCAGCCCTTACTGTGGATCCAGGCAAGCCCTATGGATATCCTCCTGGTGAGTCCAACTTCACAGTGCCCCATTTTACATCCTTACATCTCCCTAACTCTATCCTTACATAAGCCCACATGGTCCCTTATGTTTTACATCCTTACATCTCCTTTACCTAAACCTACACCAGTCCATTTCCTTGGTTCTTTGACATTCCAAAGAACATTGCCAGCGATCTGCGAACGGAACGAAAGCTGAAATATATTTTACTTCTCGTGATCAGTCTAGAAAGATCTAGAATTTTGGGTTCTGCCATTATGTTTCAGTTCAGCAGAACTTTTTTTCTAAATCTGAGAGCCAAGAAATGGACCCAGTGTGGCCTAAGTATCTATCCAAGTAAGCCCAGTGGATGTCCACGTAACGAGTCCAAATTCACAGCACCCAATCTTAAAACTAAAATTTCCAGTGCTCCACTTTCATCACAGGAATTCCACTCTGTTTTCATCTGCTAGCGTTTGTAGATGCACACGTCAAGGACTGTAGACTTTTACCACCCCATCTTATACTTCAGAAGCTGTTCCCTAACCTGTTTGTATCTGCCAGCATTTGTAGATGCGCATGAAGACTCTAGAATTTTACCACCCTGTCTTATACTTCAAGCCTTTCCCCATAACAGTGCCATCCAAGGTGGATAAAGAACGACATGGTTCCAGTTGTAATCATACTAAACTCCACAATGTTTTCATCTGCTAGCATTCGTAGATGCGCACGTAGACTCTAGAATTTTACCACCGTCTTATACTTCAAGCCTTTCCCCATAACACTGCCATCCAAGGTGGATAAAGAATGGCATGGTTCCACCTGTAATCATACTAAACTCCACAATGTTTTCATCTGCTAGCATTTGTAGATGCGCATGTAGACTCTAGAATTTTACCACCCTGTCTTATACTTCAAGCCTTTCCCATAACACTGCCATCCAAGGTGGATAAAGAACGACATGGTTCCACCTGTAATCATACTAAACTCCACAATGTTTCCATCTACTAGCATTTGTAGAGGCACACGTAGACTCTAGACTTTACCCACGCCGTCTTATACTTTACAAGCCTTTCCCATAACACTGCCATCCAAGGTGGATAAAGAACAACATGGTTCCAGTTGCAATCATACTAAACTCCATGATTTTTTCATCTACTAGCATTTGTAGATACGCACATAGACTCTAGAATTTTACCACCTGTCTTATATACTTCACAAGCCTTTCCCCATAACAGTGCCATCCAAGGTGGATAAAGAATGACATTGTGCCCGCTGTAATCATACTAAACTCCACAATGTTTTCCATCTGCTAGCATTCGTAGATGCGCACATTGACAACTCTAGACTTTACCCACGCCGTCTTATACTTTACAAGCCTTTCCCATAACACTGCCATCCAAGGTGGATAAAGAACGACATGGTTCCAGCCATAATTATACTTAACTCCACGATGTTTTCATCTACTAGCATTTGTAGATGCGCATGAAGACTCTAGACTTTTACCACCCTGTCTTATACTTCAAGCCTTTCCCCATAACAGTGCCATCCAAGGTGGATAATTATAAAGAACAACATTGTGCCTGCTGTAATCATACCAAACTCCACAATGTTTTCATCTGCTAGCATTTGTAGATGCGCACATAGACTCTAGAATTTTACCACCCAGTCTTATACTTCAAGCCTTTCCCCATAACACTGCCATCCAAGGTGGATAAAGAACGACATTGTGCCTGCTGTAATCATACTAAACTCCACAATGTTTCCATCTGCCAGCATTTGTAGATGTGCACATAGACTCTAGAATTTTACCACCGTCTTATACTTCAAGCCTTTCCCCATAACAGTGCCATCCAAGGTGGATAAAGAACGACATGGTTCCAGCCATAATTATACTAAACTCCACAATGTTTTCCATCTGCTAACATTCGTAGATGCGCACATTGACAACTCTAGACTTTACCCACGCCGTCTTATACTTTACAAGCCTTTCCCATAACAGTGCCATCCAAGGTGGATAAAGAACGACATGGTTCCAGCCATAATTATACTTAACTCCACAATGTTTTCATCTGCTAGCATTTGTAGATGCACATGAAGACTCTAGAATTTGACCACCGTCTTATATACTTCACAAGCCTCTCCTATAACACTGCCGTCCAAGGTGGATAAAGAACAACATTGTGCCTGCCGTAATCATACTAAACTCCACGATGTTTCCATCTGCCAGCATTTGTAGAGGCACACGAAGACTCTAGACTTTTACCACCTGTCTTATACTTCAAGCCTTTTCCCATAACACTGCCATCCAAGGTGGATAAAGAACGACATTGTGCCTGCTGTAATCATACTAAACTCCTCAACTCACATTCAGCTCACACAAACCCACAACACCGGTGATCCAATCCACTAACAGACTAAGTACTCTCCCCCCAAAACGTCCTCCTAAGGCTTAGTGCTTAATTCAGCTAAGAACCTTCCCTCGGCCATTAGCGATAGCTCTCCATTTAAAGAAAATTTACTTCCGCCATAAAAAAGAAGGCAGGATAGCGCTTTCTCACTGCTAGGGTATAAATGATCGGTAAGATGGTGATTTACTACGTTACACAAGGCTGCGAGGAGCTGTACTTAAAAGAAAAACGTCTCCCCGATGTGTTCCAACACGCCTGACCTTTGACGATCGCAGTTCGGTTACTGCTTGGTAGTTACCCCCTATATCCTTTATGTTCGCAAGCACTGCGCCGGGGTGATGCGTTCTAAGGCAGTTTGCCAATCGATTCGTAAAGTCAGGCCACGGCAAGTCATTCTTATGGATGACATCAGCGCATATTGATTTTTGCCCAATTTTGGGGAAGAAAAAACAAATTTTGTTGTCCTATGACAGTGGACGACATGCCAAAAATGGCTGAATATGTCTGTAGCCATGCCGGAACTTGGATGACAGATAAATGTGAAGAAAGGAAACAAGACAAGGCTCTGATTTAATGTTTGTTGTACTTTATTCCTTTATATGTGATGTTGCCGCTGAATTTTAAAAAAATCTTGTTGAACAAGGCTTATGATCTCAAAAGTTGAAAATATAGAAATCTTGTTTTTTGGTCCGCCTTGTTCTTTTCCACCCTATCGCATTAAATTTTGAGTTGGCAGAGGATGTCATCCATAGAATTAACTTGCTATGGCCTCAGGAAGAATTGTAGTCCTCCGGGAGGGCTCAGTCAGAAGCTAAGGAGAGGGGAGAGGGCTTTCCAGTGATCTGTCTTGTCAGGGTGGCCATACTAATGCCTTACGACTTTCTAAGGGCCTTTTCAGCATACATAAATACAAGTGTAGGATACATTGGAGATGGTGGTCCGTCTATAACAGTTGTTTTTCCTAAGTGTTTGAGTTCTGGGTGAAGTTTTGCTTCCTTTCTGTTTTACTAAAATGATATTGGTAAAGAAAAAAAATTAAGTGTTAGACACACCCTCATTGACTATTATAAATTTTCAAGGGCAGATATATTTGCAGTTATGTTGAGTATCCAAGAAGTAATTGTACAGCAATGAAGAGAGTCAAATTCAATTTTTATTGATCTGAAGATATTGATGTTTTCTTATGTTTAAGAACGACTGGCTACATAAAAACCATTCATTGTAAATAACTACTCAATTCAGACACTGTAAGTCTGCAATGTGGTATCCATGATAAAAATTTCAAAGAATTGTGCTCCAAAATTTTAGAAATTTGCCTACAAAACTGAAGAATTTTTAGTTCATCTCCCTTCCCCTTCCTTGTTACTGGACCAGCCCCGTCTTTAGCCGGGAGACGCTACACTGTAATGGGCAATCTCTCCAATTGGGGCGGACAATAAAAGTGAAATGTTGGTATGAAGGGAGGCCTGCCGATGTGTTAGAGGGGACCAATGGATTCGTTTCGGTTCGAACACAACATCGATCTTAGTGGAAGGTTCGGCTTGAATGCAGAAGTATCGAGATGTTAGGAAGTCGGTTGCAAAACCTGAAGATTGTTAGGTTTTGCGACCTAAGCAGGTCTTTTGATTGCTGCTAAGACAGTATAAAATTGGCCAGGCAGTATCCATTTCAGTGTTAGGTCTTAATATGTCAACTTTGTAATGAAAAAAAAAAGGAAGGACTCAAATGCCAAAGTTGGCATGGTTTAAAAACAGGTATAGGAAGCTTTTGGGCCCTCCCTATATTCTATGTATGTGCCTTGAAGTTTTTTTTAAAGAAAGTCTTCTTGACTTCCTTCCTAAACTTAAAATGCTGTTAGAAACTTGATCTTTCAATAAGGCAGAAGTTCTACAAAGAAGTGTTTGTCACGGACCCTTTGCAGCATTCTTCATAGGACATTGGGATTTTCTTTTACACAACCAGTAAAGACTCTCACCTTGCTTAAGTTTTGATGTCTATCAGGCACCTTCCTCAGAGCTTCTGACTGGAGTTCTGCTTCTCACTGCTATATATAGCCAATGTAGCTGGCGCTTTTGCCGAAGTGTTTTCATAGATTTTCTTTTTTTAATAGATCTTCTTTTTCTTCCTCCCCAAACTTGTTTACTGAAAAAAGCTGTTACAAGTGTTAAAAGTGTTAGAAACTAGATCTTTCAATAATGCGGAAGGAATACAAAGTGTTTTTGAGTACCGTTCTTCATAGATTCTCTCTTTTTTTCTCCGAACAGATCACAGCTACGTGGCTCAGCCTGATCTCACGCGGTCCACCGGAAACGTCCGCGGTTTTCCGGTCATGCCGACCCTGGCCTTCTCCGACGACAAAATCCCCATGACGATGTCCCCTCTCCATAGCAACAACAGCCTCAAGATCAAGGTCGTTCCGCCCGACGTGCCCATGAACCGCCCCGTCACTCCTAGCAACCGGTCGGCGACGCCCAGCAACATGTCCACCCTCCAGCGTAACGCGCAGATCATGAGTAACAGTCTGCCGGACATGCAGCCGAGTACGCCGGAAATGTCCGATGTTGGTACGAACACCCGGAGACCGAGCTCGATCTACGACGCGGAAAACTTGGCGAAGATTCTTCCGTCTTACGTAGACCCGGCGTTTGCGGCCTGTGGCACGATAGGCACAGAGGGCGGGAGGTTAGCAATAGAGGAATCAGGTGAGAAAGACACGCTATCGTTATTTTAGGGGCTTTAGATTTGGAAAGATGCTAGGGATGTGTAAAACTGGTAAATTTTAGGACTCAACTTGTTCCTGTAAGTGTCAAGTGTTGAAAATTTAAAAACTAGAATGGAAGTGAAAAGATGGCTAGAGTAGGTTTTATCGATATAGGGTTTTGTAAGCCATTTTTCCAAAGTTTAGAACTAAACTTTTTGCTAAAAGTACAGTCACCAAGTCAGAAACTAGAGCAGAATTGAAAAGAGTAGGTTTTATCAATATAGAATGTATTTTTTTTTGGCTGCTAATTTTTTTCCACACTCCTAGTACCTTTTAAACAGTTTTTACTCCACTTACGTTAAAAATATTTTTTTCAGGCCTAGCAACTTTTCAACTTTTTATATATGGTGTGAGGTGCTTCATGTGTGTACACTAGTATCCATAATGCTCATAGCAGTCACATTATCATAAAATAGCCATCTTGCAAGCGATGGACCGAAAAACAAACTGTAGACTATGAGAAGGTCGATGGGTAGAAAAAACATTGAAGGCGACATCCCATCCTTTTCCCACCCACCCATATCGGAAGGAGTCACAAAGTAAAAGGCACCCGGAAAGGCCACAGCAAGTAATTTTTATGGATGACATCAGTGCGCGCATTAATTTTCGCCTGATTTTGGAAAAAAAACAAGAATTTTTTTTGCCTTCTGACAGTGGTCAACACGACAAAAATGGGCAAAGATGTCTGTTGCCATGCCGGAAGGTGGATGGCAGATAACTATGGAGAGGAGACAAGAAAAGCCTCTGATTTAATGTTTTGTTTCTTACTTTGATGCAGTGATATATGTGATGCTGGCTGTGTATATGTGATGTTCCCACTGAATCAAAACCATTTTGTACAATGATTGAGTCAAAATTTTAAATTGAAGGAACCTTGTTTTTTTTCGGCCCGCCTTGCTTTTTTTTCCCCCCGCTGGCATTAGATTTGGAATCTGCGAAGGATGTCATCCATACAATTGACTTGCTGTGGCCTAATTCCTGATGTCTGTTCCCACATGCTGACATTTTCAAAGTCAATTTCCCTGATGGGAGCATCGTTACACCATCCCTTCTTGTCGTGTTTGCGAATGTGCTGCTAGTTTCACCCCTGACATTAGGGAGGGTCACCCCCGGTGTCACCTGACATTTTGTTAGATTTGTCCTTCATTGCGAAGGTCAAATAAAGTATGGATGATCTGGTGTTTCTCTTCCCCTATGGGTATTCTGCTGTTGATTTTGTGGTGTAGAGCAAGCAGCTTGAAATTTTAGAAGGTAGCCAAATATTGATTTCATAAATCTTTTGGGCAGCATTTTTTTGTGTGTGTTCAAAAACAAGGAGATCTCATTCTCAGTGAAAAAATAACTCAAGTAAAGTCATCTGGCAAACTGAAGTTGAAATGCTCAAGAATCCTTGCTGCACCTGTATTGCACTGTTGTACTTTTTTGCCTTCGACTGAAGGCTATGCCTTCGGAGAAGGTTATGAAATCGGGTTTGCACTGTTTGGCAGATTAGGCACGATAACTCTTGAAGGCAAGGTCCGAGGTTCACGATTTTTGGCAGGCAGGTTGATTTAGGGGTGGCCATTGTCAAGGCTAAAAATGGGCTTCGTGGGGGGTTCCTAAGTCACTGTAGTTGACCTTGGTTTTTGGTGTTTTTTCCTTGTCATCAAGATATCTCGAGAATCCTTAAATGGATGTTCATTATTTTTAGTGGGCAAGTTACCGTTGAAAATGCCGAGGTCAAGTTTAAAGATGGGCCCCGTGGGGGTTTCTATGTCACTGCAGTTGACCTTTGTTTCTTGTGTTTTTTCTTGTCATCAAGATAACTCGAGAATCTTTAAATGGATGTTCATGTTTTTTAGTTGGCAAGTTACCATTGACAATACCAAGGTCAAGTTCGGATATGGGCTTCGTGGGGGGTCCCCACGTCATTGAATTAGAAAGTACTGCAGCGAAACTTCTGGTTTTTAAATCTCGTGATATGGACGTGCTAGGGTCATGATTTTTAGATGGTAGGTAGCTCTCGTGCTCAGAAAGAAGTGCCGTAAGTTTGGGCCCCGTAGCAGCTTATTTGGGAAATGCAGAGGCATTTGTTTGAAAATGTTTGAAGTAGGATAGCTCAAGAACCGGTTGACGGATTGTTGTTATTTTTGGTATCTCGGTAGCTTAAGTGATGCTTGACCTAATTAGATGACAATTATGCAAATCACAATCTAATTTACATAATTAATGACAAAAGTCTATAAATCTGCTGCGTTCCATGATAGAACAATTGAAATGGTGGCATATTTAAACAAGAGGAAGAGGAACATTGACAGATATTAATTATGTAAATTGTGACCCAATTTGATTAATTAATAAGAGAAATCTATATGTCTTTCATACTGCACTAGACCTTTTTGGTTTCCACCCTCTGTGGATTACATTGCTTTATGCCCACAAGGATATAAGCTGGAAAAAACTTTCCTGTTTGTTGAAACAACAGAATCCTTGCGAAATTGGCGAAAGTGGCGCTTAATGCTGCATTAATACTGAAAGTTTTAATACTGGGTTAATGCTGGGTTAACGACTCGGCCAGCCTTCAAACACACATAGATACATCATTCATAATGTACAATGTAGAAAAGGCAATCTTTCTTTTTATTAATATTTGTTACATGTACTGGAGCAACTGCATAACTCTTGTAAAATTTGTAAACCCTGACACAAGACTGCACAAATGTACACGCTAATGTTGTAGGGAATACAGGAAACCTATTCATATCTAGGTTAAAACAACAAGTTACAGACAGGAAGCTGTCAACATTGGTTTTAGTTGAAAAAACGTTTTCTTTGAAATTGTTGAAAAAACATTAGTGGCCCAGTGCCCCAGCAGAGCGTGCTTTATTTGACAGGTCTGTGGCCCCCAGTGTGAACATCTGGAATTAGCCTGGTTGCCAGACCCATAGCACACTGGACACAAAGTATCTCAGTTTGGCACCCAGGTAAATCTGGAATATGGATAATGTGAATAGGTTTCCCGTAATACCTACAACCTTAGCATGTACATTTGTGCAGTCTTGTGTAGTACATTTGTGCATATCGTATCGTAATGCAACAGGAGTTAAAGATTTAAACCCGATATAAGGTCACAAACTTTGTTTTAATCGATAACATAGTTGGTATACTGTACACAATGGCCAGGTCACTAGAAGGAAGTGGTCTGAACGCATTGAGCAGTATCTAATCTTTATAAGCTTTGTGGCTTTAGCGAGGAGCACGGCGGTATTCTATGAATGACTTTGAGTTTGATGCCTGTAATCTTCTTCATAATGGGTCGTGTGGAGAGGGAATAGAGAAGCCCTGCCATTGAAAGGATAGATTTTCACGACCATATTATGGTCCGATGGGCCCCCACAAGAAAACTAACATAGCCAAACTGCGTCGCCAACCTGAGAAATAACCAGTAAATAACTACTAGTTCAAAAATTGAAGATTGTTAAATTGCAACTAGGATACATATTTTATTTGAATTCTATCCAGGATAAATTGCATTGACAGGATAGACTGGGACGGTTAGGTAGGTCACCCGAGGCTGACCTCAGCCCTGCCAGTCGTACCTCTGGGAACGTCCCCGGAGGACCTGGGCTAATCTATACCACTATCCGGGCTGGAATAGAAAGTCGGGCTGTTTCCTGCTAAAAGTTTGATACGACGGCCCCTCTAACAAGTAAGGCATATATGATAAATGAGTTTCTCTTTGTGGAGGAAGATTAACTTTCTACCAGGCACCATGGATCACTGGAAAAATAGTAGAAAACGGCCAAAATAAAGGGAATAGTATGCCGCTAAAGGGTCAGATAGCCCGCTAGAGAGATACAACTCACCGGGAGGAACCCATTTATCTTACATACCACATACCATCACAACAATTGGCCAGTTTGTGTGATTTTGTAACTTGCAATTGTCTTCAATGTATTGGACATCGCACGCTTCAACAACACTGGCTGCATAGAAGAATAATTTAGTTGAAGGAGTTTTTGCCGTTTTGAAGTTTGGATCACCGCGTATCGGAGGGAAGAAAACAACCTTTCGCGGCCAGACTCCCCAGGCCAATTCTCCTCTTCTTTTGCCGAATTCTACGATCTGTATTTCCGTAGAAAGACATGGTACAGGCTTGGTGAATAGTCTGTTGCTTCGTTCACTACGATAATCATCTTCACAAAAAACCTACACTATACACACACACAACACCCACCAAAACAATATCACACTGTCGAAGGCATGAGACCTCCGAACTCTAGTTCCTCTTTGATTTGTTGCCAACGTACTGTTGGAAAAGATTTTGTAAAACTTGGCACAAAAAAATGCCTGTCCATCCCAAAAGCTGCAAGTGATGCAAATTTCACAAAGTAAGGAAAACCCGGTTTGTGAACCTTGTTACCAAGTTACGAAGTTAACATCTGTGTCCATAATATCACCAGGGTCCATAATATCGCCACCTTGAGAAAAAGTGTGCTTAAAGATATTTTTACTGCAACATACCTTAGGTATGTACATTTGATGTATGAAGGAGTGCATACCAAAAGTTTGTTGCAGTAAAAATATCTTCAAGCACACTATTTCTCAAGGTGGCGATATTATGGACCCTGGTGATATTATGGACACGGATGTTACCAATTGGGTTTGTCAGGCCGTTAGCCTTGTTGACAACAGGTGGGTAAAAAGAACATGGCAAGGTCGCACCAAGGGCAAGGACTGATGGTTTCTGGGAAGGCATCCTGAACCCTCCTTGCCGTGACATAATTGGGAACTTGAGCAGAAATGGTTCGGAAAATGTCAAGTCATCTGTCTGAGATAATGAACCACTCATGAGCTGTCCCCAACTTTGTTGGGCCTTGGAAAAAAAATGTTGTGTTTCCTGTTTCCCAACCGACCCTAGAAAAAAACTACCGATGCTGTTTTTTTAGGGGGTAGACCCCTGCAAGGGACATTCATTTTCTGAGCTGATCAACCATTTCTAGCTCCATGACCTGACACATGAGTGATGAAACGTTGTACAATTGGTTTTCCAACATTGACATTGAAAATAGAAGTGTGCTCATACAAGTTTTACTTTGATAAACTGTATTGTATAAGTTGGATCACTAGAAATTGCAAAAGTCTAATAAAAGAAAGGAAGAGGAAAAAAGATAATCCCTACCTACCTACCGAAGCTGGTGTGTTACACCGAAAGGTGGTTATACCGGCTATACAGATACAGTTTACCGACCCTAATTTTTCAGGACTGAAACAGGAAACACAACATTTTTTTCCTAGGCCAAGGCTTATGGAAAAGGGTTCGGTCGACCGTTACTTCCAAAAATGCCAACAGCAATCATGACCGCCCGGGAGAGAAATTGGGCGTCACTGGTGGCATTTATTGTCCCTTAAGACAAGTGGGAGTGTATTAAGGAAGCCTGGGGGGCGAACCTGGACTTAAAGGAGCTTAGACGGTGATGAGGAACGTTACAAGACAGCTGGGAAGGAATAGAAGATGGGATTATGGGCTTGGTTCTCATGTAAAGAAGACTGTAGCATCAAGGACAGCCCTGTGAAACCTATGCTTGTTAAAGACATAAAATGTTTTTCATAGTATTGAATTATGTGTCATGTTTTGCAAAGTTGGAAAGATTCCAATGCCTCTGAAGGTGTAAACTCGCCCTTGTGGAAAAATCTAACATTATCCTGCAGAAACAGCAGTTGATAGGTCATATATAGACATAACTGCAAAAGAAGGGCAGATCCTGATATTTAATGTATCATGCCTTAAAATTTGTCAAATTGTAATAGCTTGTATTTGAAAGTCCTTTACGTCAAACTGTTACTGGATGTCAGGTAAACTTTGCATATGTTTTCCAAAGAGTATATCTGTTATAACCTAGTTCATTAAGTTTGAATATTTGTTAAAGATTAGAAAATTACTTCAGGTTTTGAAACGACCTTGAAACATTCTTTTTCGCCCCCCCTCCCACCCACAGGTGTGAGTCTGCTGATTCCCCATGGAGCCATCACAGAAGGTCACACAGAGGACATTTTTATCGCCGTGTTGCGCGAGGAAAAAGACAGACCAAAAATGAACGCGAAACAGACACTTTTGGGCCCGGTGGTCGCGGTCGGTCCCCACGGACTCCACTTTAGAAAACCCGTCATCGTGACCTTTGGGCACGCCGCGGGCTTACGGGAGCGAAACTGGGAGTTAACACTGTTGTCCAGCGAGAGCCATCCAAGCAGAAGCCCCTCCTGGCAGGTCAGTATGGTACTGCAGCCAGACAAAAGTCTACTAGTTAAGCTTTTCCAGAAATACAGTATAAGGATCTTGATTTGCTTCCAACTAGTTTCCCATTTTTTCTGGATATATTGTTTTTGCTCAGCTGCTTTTTTCTCTTCTTCTTGTCCAAAGAAATAAGTTCAATGACCTGGCAGTAGTTTGTTAGGCTAGACCATGTGAAGGTAAACCTTATGCATTTGCTTTGCAAATCTTACCTTTCTAGATATTGATTGATTGATTGATTGATTGATTGATTGATTGATTGATTGATTGATTGATTGCAGAACTTGGTGCTGATTGGTGAGGAAACGTTAAACACGACGGCGTACTGCCAGGTCGACGAGCGAGACTGCCACGTGATGGTCGAACACCTCTCCTCGCGCTACGCCCTGATTGGCCAGTCCGCGCCCGCCACACAGGCCGTGAAGAGACTGAAGCTCGCAGTGATCGCTGCGCCTCTTCAGCCGTCTGGTGACTACAACTTCCGTGTGTACTGTGTGGCTGACAACTCTGACGAACTTGAGGTACATGTAGGCCCTTCCTGATATTTTCACTGTACTTTTGTGTTCACTGTTTTCACTGTTACTTCTGTACCGTGAACTTATCATTACAGCATAAGAAATATGTTAAGACTACAACTTCCGCGTGTACTGTGTGGCTGACAACTCCGTCGAACTTGAGGTACATAAACGTCCTTTCCTATAACAGTGCAACATATGAACTTCGACACTGTTTTTCTCCTGGTTTGATTGAAGTGTCTCATTGTAAATTATAAACTTGAGAAGAAAACAGATACCTGAAAGTCCACTCTGTGAAATACTTGTTGCAGGGTTTTCTCAAGTGAACTCTTGTCATCACTATTGCAGTTTCTCATGATGTAATTGTAAACCAAGGAAAGCTTGCATGGCAAAATTCCCAGGGGGGACTCAGACAGAAAGTAGCCTCCTATTTTGTCTGCCATTTGTCCTTCGCACCCACTCTCTGTACCTTGTCAAAGCCCATCCCCTCCTTTTAGAAGTGTTCTGTTGTTAATGTAGGATGTGAGGTTTAGGGTGGGCCAGAAAAGGAAGGAGGAGCATTTCATGAAGTACACTTTGTAAAATAGAAGTCTTGAATTGCTAGCATAAATTTAAGGCCAGATACATTTGTTACAAAAATAAATTACAAATGTATTTCAGAAACACACACACTTTGAAATAATGCAGGTAACCTTTCAAAATGGAAGTTTAGAATTCCTGGTAAAAATGCGAAAATTGTATAAATACATTTGAAATAAAGCAGATAACCTTTCATTTTAGCATCCAATTCTTTTTTTTTTTGGAAGGTAAGCCAGTAAATGAAATTGTTTTGGCCTAACGTTGCCGAAAGCGTTCCCATGTTGAAGACGTAATCCAAATTTTAGCAGTATTTTTGAAGATTAATTTTAATTAAACCAGTAAATCAGATGCATTTGTTACAAAAATACACTATTGCACAAACACACACACTTTGAAATAAAGCAGATAACCATCCATTTTAGCTTTCAATTTTTAAAGCCAGTAAATGAAATTGATTTGGCCTAACTTTGCTGTTGCTTAAAGCGTTCCCACATTAACAAGACGTAACCCAGGGCAGAGGAAACAAACGTCCGGCCTGTTCGACAGTAGACTGAAAATACAGGCAGCCGCTAACAGCCCTGCTTTGAAGTTGTTGGGCCTGGGAAATGTCTGGAGGTCTGGAAATAGCGGGAACATGTGGGAACCTGGCGGGGGTTTAACTTCTGTCGGTTTGCTAACATTGTGTGGATTAGAGTCACGTAGTACCAAAGTCATTTACCTCGATAAAAAGAGCATAGATTTTAGTATTTGGATACATGTATGCAACCTTTGTTTTAATCTTAATTTTTATGCTGTTTTGATAGTGTATAGAAGTATTTTTAACAGTATAAATTAGAGTCATGTATAGTACCAATGTCACTTATTATGATAAAAAGAGCATAGATTTTATCATTTTGGATACGAAAACTTTGTTTTAATCTACATTTTTATGCTATTTTTGACAAGTATTTTTTTAACATCAGTGTTGCAAGGAAGAAACTACACTGTTTATTCAATCAATTTAGATGCAAAAGTATTTTCCAACAGAGAAATAAGACAGAATTCTATTTTCTGTTATTCATTGATACACCATTTTAGGACTACAAGGATTTGAATCTTTCAAAAACTGAAAAAGGAATCTGCACTGCTATAACTCACTAAGTCGAGATCCCCCGACTCCAATGACTGTTTTCCATTTCTTCCTACATGTATCTTTCATTTCTACCATCATCTAAAATTTTCTTTTTTCTTCCCTTTTTAGGGAGTGGTACAGTCCGAGGCTATGTTGGGGGGTCAGATGCTGGACACGCCCAAGATTCTGCCCTTCAAGGACAACGGCCGAGACCTTTGTCTGAGCATCGAAGAAACCTTGCCAGGATGGAAGAGCCGACTTGGCGCCAACTTCCAGGTGAGGTTTCTAAATCCTAGTGCAGTGGGGTCACCTAGCAATAGTTGTGAAAACTGCAGGAGTGCAGGTACCTGTTGCAACCAAAAGACTTGAAACAAAACACATGTCTTTTGAGTGAAAGAATGCTACCTTGGAGGTGATAAGAACCACTTGTAGTGCAGTGGGGACATCTAGCAATAGTTGTGAAAACTGCAGGTACATTTATACTTGTTACAACCAAAAGATTGTTGAAGCAAAACACATGTCACTTAAAATTTCTTTTGAATGAAAGAATGCTACCTTGGAGGTGATAAGAATTCTTGTAGTGCAGTGGGGACATCTAGCAATAGTTGTGAAAACTGCAGGCACCTGTTTTACAACCAAAAGATTGTTGAAGCAAAACACATGTCACTTAAAATTTCTTCTGAGTGGAAGAATGTTACCTTGAAGGTGATAAGAACCACTTGTAGTGCAGTGGGGACATCTAGCAATAGTTGTGAAAACTGCAGGTACTTGTTACAACCAAACAATTGTTGAAACAATTTAAAACACATTAAAATTTCTTTTGAGTGGAAGAATGCTACTTTGGAGGTGATAAGAACCACTTGTAGTGCAGTGGGGACATCTAGCAAGGCCTAGGAAAAAAAATGTTGTGTTTCCGGTTACCCGACCGACCCTATGAAAAACCCCCCGACCCTAGCCTTTTTTGGGCCGACCAAAAATTTCGAGCGGCTAGCGGTCGGTTTTCAAAATTGGGGATTTTATCCCCGATAAATGTGCTCGTCATTCCAATTTTCTTCGGTCGGGCGGCGTGGATCGAGCGCAATCCTGTGAATTGACGATGAATTGTCGATCTCGCCATGACGCCACAAAGAAAACGTTGTCATTGGTAGAAAATCTGACACCCCGCTGGCGTTTCACAACAAAATTTTCATGTAAACAACTCCGACTGTCTTTGTTTACATCGCGAAAGCTCACCGATACAAAGTAAAACTCCCGCCGGCCGGCCGCGCCCGATCGCATGGTTGCGGCATGGCGCTAAGTTTTCGGCAGCTCGACGGAAAAATAATCCATCCCCAGAAGAAATGTTACGCATGAAAATAACAACTACAACTTGTTTTCCTCGTTATATGAGTTTTTGAGGCCGTAAAATGTTTAAAACGGTTGAAATTTGCTCGAAAAAACGGCTCGAAAATTCACGGCGAGAAAGACAACATGGCCGACCTGTTGTCACAATAACAATGGTCAAAGGTCAAGATAGCATCCAAATGTATAGATACATGTAATAAGTACATATTACAGTGCTAAAACGATACTTTAACGCATGAAAAATATTTTTTCGGCTACAACTGAAATAAAAATTCAGTTATATTTTAGTAAGGTTAATTTTCAAACATTACTGAGAAATTTTCCGAATTAATTGGTTTCTTGTGTAATATTGTTGTTTCTATGTATGTGCGGTTGGATGCTGTCATTGTAAAGACCCTTTACATATTGGGAGAATCAGATGAGATATTAGAGATTATCACGCTTAGTACCGTGACCCGAGTGTCTCTCAAAAATTGTTTTTGAGTGGAGTTTATAAACATGATCACATTTTTATTTGTTCAGCTGTGTCAATATGTGATTTGTTTGAGAAATAGGATTTGGTTTAGTTTTTAATATATTAATGTCAGTTAACATCTTTGGAATAAATTGCTCCAAGTTCCAGGTAGTAAATACATGTACATTTTGTATCATGTATTTTTCACTTGTTGAACTTGTGGAAGCACCGTTGGCCCCCGGTTAGGGGTCATCCGGGGAACCTATGCCCAATTTTTTCAAAATTAAGGGTAGAATTTTTTTGAACATGAGGATATATAACTAAGTACAGATCTTGAACCTTTCTACTACATCTGCAGTTGTACAGAAAATGTAGAACTGAAGTTGCAGGAAATGACCTCCATTTGTGTTTGGAAAAGACAAAATGCAATAGCTTCCCCCCCCCTCCAGACCTCCCCCCCGCCGCATTGGGTGCTTCGCACCCTCCTCCACCCTGCTCTGAATTTCTGGGGAGATCCCTGTCTGTGTAGTACAAACAGATCATACGTTCATTGTCCCGGCTTTGACT